ACGAAATTCAAATTAGAGGAAAATAGAAATTAATATATGTTTTAGTACATATTGTAATGTCTTATTTCCTCGAATTTCATTAAAGGTATATTTGTTTTTCAATGGATTTAGGTCTCACCTTGCGGCATGGTAAAAATACATAACTACTCAAAACATCTTCCTTAAAAATTGTAAAATAAGAAACACATAAATCACAAAATGCAGTTACACAGAGTTACAAAAAAACAATTTTTATAATTAAAATTAAGAAATTCTACGCAAAAGTAAGAAATTCCACCAGCGCGCAGGAGGACAGATTTTTTCACTGCACGAAACTGAAAGTTGAATTTTGTTCCTAATCGGGAAAAAGACACTCAAGTTGGTACTGAAACTAACTTAATTCACTGTTCTACTAATAGTTTCGAAAGTAAATAAATGGAGGCCTCTTTAGGCTTAGTACCAATTAAATAATCTATAACTTTTAAATTGTTGATAATTCTACAACTATTGCATGCAGATTAACAAAAGGCATGAAATTGTTAACCGGAACGTGAAAAGAACTTAATTCTATCATCACTTTTTAGGGAAAAAATTCACAGTTTACCAATTTGAAAGAATATTAAAAACTGAGCTCACTGGGGCAGGTAAAAGAGTGTATATGATGCCGATAACAAGCAAATATATATATTATATATATATATATATTTGGTGCTGCTGTACCACAAATATGGAGGTTCACAGCTACTTTTAGCAGTCCAGGCATTTTAATTTGAGGCTACTGTTTTTTTTTTTTTCATACAAGGTACATAATAATAAATACACAAGACATACCTACATTCACGAAAAAATCTCTTGAATCCATTAACCTTTGCGGCACCTAAAAATTCCTTCTTACGCACAAAAAATTGAAGAAAAAGGATCATAGGTTACTATAAGTTACTCTGACCTTCTTTTTATTAGATGACATGGAACGAAACAAACCCTCCATATTAATGCCATGTTTTGTTGTATAAGACCCTATTTTTCAAGAAATTTCCAGATTTTTTTAGGGTATAAAAGAATTGTTTGAGAAAAATGTCTATGTTATTTCTTGGCGTATGCAATCTCCTTACTATATTAGTTAAATTTTTTTACCTTGAATCTTGCCTAAAATCGAACGGCGAACCCATAGCCCCATACCGGCCTCACTGATATAGTACAACTGAGAGTCTGTCTTCTTTATTTTTTTCCGCATCTCATCGTCAGTTCATAACAACAGAAAGGGGTCCACATCTGTGTACCACCACCGTTTCCTCTTTTTCTCTTTCTTACTTTCTCTCTCTCTCTTTTTTTTTCGGGGGGGGGGGCATTTGGATCACTAACAAATAGTTGGGGTGATTTTCTGAAGGTCAGGGGTAATTTTATCAGTGTTCGCTGTTTCGTTTTTCACTAGAGGAGTTCTCTTTTTCTCTTTCGCTTTCGTTCAAAGAAGTTTTGTTAGTGCTACGTTTAATAGTTTTGAGTTGTAGATGTATATTTAATTTTATTTTATAGTTTATAATTTCAAATTGTAGATATAATATTAGTTTATTTTTGTTCGGATTTTTAACTATTTTCCAAACGGATCGTAGAGGGCAGACCATTTCTGAAGCACTGACAGTGCTAGACGAATTGCTTTGAGATAGTGAATCTGATACGGATCCCGGTACATGTGCAAAACATGCAATATTGGGTAGTGCTTTTTCAAAGGTGGTGTAATTTTCTTCGAAAAGTACCACCATGAAAAACATAGACTAAAGTGTAAATATGAAAGGTAAATAATGTAAATATCATATACCCAAGTTACTTTTTCCCCATTCATACGCAAGTAATCATCATATAATCAAAAAAGAGCTTTTTTCGGGGGGGGGAGGTAGAGTAACAGGTCTCCCAGTGGCACACCCTGGGTAGTGCTAAATATGTTACGGTATTCAGAATCTAGTATCTTTTAAACGTAGGCAAAATCTGTTACTCTTTTACGCACTTCCCAGCAATGCTCGATTTAGCACACTTTTTGAAGTGTGCTCTCTTCGAGCACACTCACGGAACTAAAACGATAAGTGCTATCTTCACAAAATTTCACTTGTGTGCTTTTCTAGGCCTAATTAGACTGCCTACCTTTTTTTTTTTTTTTTTTTTTTTACGAAATTCCAACTTAAAAAGGTTATAAGATATTTCTCCCATTTCCGTAGCGTGCCTTCGTGGTGTAACGGTAGCACGCTGGGCCGGTAATCCAGAGATCCGTGGTTCTATTCGCGGCGAAGGCGGTTGCATATTTTTCATCTCTCTGGCTTCCAATTAACTAAGACTCTACAGTGGCGCCCGATCTAAAAGGGTTGTGGTGATGATCTCCGGCACCCAGGATTTGCACTAGGTCCCCTAAAATCCTAGTCGCCCTTTAAAAAGGGGAGTATAAAAGATTTCTCCCACTTTCGAGCGTGCCTTCGTGTTGTAACGGAGCATGCTGGACCGGTATTCCAGAGTCCGTGGTTCGATTCGCGGCGAAGGCTGGTGGCATATTTTTTCATCTCTCTGGCTTCCAATTAACCTAACTCTACATCGCCCAAAAAAAAAAACTAAAAGGGTTGTGGATGATGATACTCGCCCCAGGATTTGGCGACTAGGTCCCCTAAAACCCTAGTCGCCTTTTAAAAAAGGGGAATATAAGGTATTTCTCCCACTTCCGTAGCGTGCCTCGTGTTGTACGGTGGCATGCTGGACTGGTATTCCAGAGGTCCGTGGTTCGATTCCCGGCGAAGGCGGTTGCATATTTTTCATCTCTCTGGCTTCCAATTAACCTAATGATTCTACGAGGTATCGTGTCGGTAAGTGTTAAACAATCCGTTAATGAAGAAAGAGTCCTTTATTCAGCCCATACATAGATATGTCACGCAAAATCATCGTTCAAATGGATTCAAGAACGGTCAAAATGGATATTTTTGTTGAAATATGATACCAGAAATTTTTGGAGATTGCAACAGCTCCTTTACTTTGTGCAAGGAAGTGCAAAGTGAAGAGGGGGAATTGATGAGGAAATACATTATGTTCTTTTATATCTTACTTCTTATCTATGTATCTCTATTTAGTTAACCATCTTCAGAGAGAGAGAGATAAAAGTAACCTTTGATGCCGAGAAACTAAACTTACGTAAGTTTCACCCATTTATTTCATTTCATGCAATGTTGTCTTGAAGGGTGAAATAAACGTACTCACCGAAAACATCTGCGTTGTCCTTCTTAACGAAAACATACGACTGCATTACTTTGCTCTTTGGGTCATGTCCTGTGACCTTTACCTACGATTTACTCCTGAAGTCACAGTGAAACAAGAACTGCGCATCGCTTCACCTCTTTCCATCAATTATTAACCGTTCTTCTACCTTCACCATTAATCGTATGCCTTGTTACGTAACTTCTGAACGTCTGTGGTGCTTTAACAACTCTAAGATAGTTCTCTCAAGAATCAAAGTTTTATGTCACGTAGAGACCAATGTAAGGGTTTGATATTTCTACGAAAAGCAATAATGAATAGGGAGGGATTTAATTGGGAGAAACAAAATATAAAATTCAGTGGATAATTGCGGGATAAGTAGAAAAAAATCGTGAAAATTTTTCAGTGTTTGATTTTCATTAAACATTTTGTGAAAACATTTCTCGTCGAGAGATTGGGTGGGTGGAAAGTAACTCCCTATTTTGAATTTGGAATAACTATTGATGTTATGTGTAGATTTTAATGAAAGTTTCCTTGTTTTGTAGACTGTGGCGTGGCATTATTTGCAATATTTTTTCCTTTTACATATGTCTAATATTTTTTTCCCTTTTCGGTTTTTTTAATCAGAGATTGTCTAATTGACATAATTGTCTTGTCCTCTCAGTATCACACGCGCTGTTTAAATAATTACGTGCTATTATGCGTCTCATAACATCATCAAGTGTTTCGTTTTTATGTATTCACATTATTTAATTGTTTGCATCGTGTTTATCTATGTGTGTTCGGTGTTTATTTAGTTACGTGTATTTTAGTGTATCTTTTTGTGTTTTTAGTGCTTTAATATGTTTTTTATGTTTTTCTTTATATGTTTGATATCTACGCGTTTTTATCTTGTGCGTACTATTATTATCATGGCTTCATGAACTACTGTCATCACATTGCTTCACGTATATATGCGTGCCCTATTGAGTGTCCTCTCAGTATCACACGCGCTGTTTAATAATTACGTGCTATTATGCGTCTCATAACATCATCAAGTGTTTCGTTTTTATGTGTCCACATTATTTAATTGTCTGCATCGTGTTTTATCTATGTGTGTTCGGTGTTTATTTAGTTACGTGTATTTTAGTGTATCTTAGTGTACCTTTTTGTGTTTTTTAGTGCTTTATGTGTTTTTCTTTCTTCATGTTTTTCTTTATATGTTTCCATTTATGTTTTGTGTTTTATTTCTTATTTTGTTTCTACCTCTGTAACCATAACCTTCAGTTTGTGTCTCACGTTCTTACAATGTACTACATGTAGTCTAGCCCTTGCATGGCCATGTTAACTTTTAAGATCCTAATAAACTCCCGGGGCGGCCTCATGGGGCTCCAGGGAGTTGTTGCCTCTACACAGTGGAGGACGCGGGGTATATGCCTGTTTACCTATGTTAGACACCAGGCGCCCCCGTCCTCCGTCACCTGTCACCTGACATAATTGTCTTTGCATCCAAAACAGAATGTTTCCCATCTTCACCGCTCCACCACCCTTGAGCCGACCAGCGGCGAGCAGTTACGTCGCTGAACTCTGGTAGTTTGGTCCGAGGTTCAAATTCCGCGAATGGGCTGGCTGCATGGGTGTTTTCGTGGTTTTCTCCATGTGTAACGTGTATATTAGCCAGTTTCCCTTAAAAAGTCCTCCACGAAGGCATTCCTCGCTTAAGGCAGATAGCCCTCGAGTGCTTTGCCGTAATTTAATAAGCCAAACTAAACCACAGCCGTTGAACCTGCGTTACAGATTGCCACACCTCATACCTTGCTGTAATTTTGGCTCTGTCCTGAATAATTGTTATGACATCACTCCTTGAGAAGCTGTGAAAAAAAAGTATTAAACATATATGAAAAAGGAAAACATTTTTGAGCAGGTATGAGATAGATTTATCAAAGGCAAGTTACCTCCAAACCTAACTCTTTAATTACTCAATTCGTGTTTCGTCATCCATACAGACAAGGGTAAATGTAAAATTCTAAACCAAATGTTGTGAATTACTAAAAAAGAAATTTAATCTAGTAGGAATTTTGAGAAATTTAACAAGTAAAATGACTAGGAATAAAAATATTAATTAAATTAAGAGTAGAAAACCAAATTTTTTAGAAAACCAAAGTAATTTAGAAACTCTTGCCTATTGAAAACTTTTACACGAATTATGCATGTAAACCTGAAATAAACTATATACAATCCATCAAAATATAATAATAATAAAAGGCTAGTAAATAGCAAGTTTTAATTGAACTTGGCTTGTACAACATATTTGAATTTGTGAGTGTGGATTAGCATTTTTTAAACTAGTTGAAGTTGAGTAGTTTGTGACTGGTAACTCTGGTATTAACAGAGGGCGCTAATACAATGTAAAGTTGAGTGTTAAACTGCTACCTGTGAGAGCTATTGTAAAAACATTTGCTGTAAACTTTAATAATGTAAAATGCTTGTTTTGTATGCAAAAATGTTGTTAACTCTGAGGCATTGTTAAAATGTGTAAAAGAGTAAAAATTGTGAACTGCTGCTCTTTGCGAAAATAGAATTTTTTTAATTTGAAGTAGAAAATTTAAAAATTATAATATATATATATATATAAAAATATATATTATATAGATTATATATATATTTGTCCAAATTATTATTATTTATTCACATTGCCAAAGATGAGTATTTTCATCAATTAAAAAACTTCTGTAACAGGAAATATATGACTGCGATTACGAAAAATTAAGCCTGGTAAAGACTTTAAAAAGACGTGTAAATAGATATATATATATATATTATATATATATTATTGCCCACTCCTTTATGATTGTGTTCGTATATATATAATATTATTCTATATATAATAATTTATTATATATATATATATTTGTCCAAATTATATATTTATTCACATTGCCAAAAGATGAGTATTTCAATCTTAAAACACTTCTGTAACAGGAAATATATGAACTGCGATTACAAAATGCTTAAGCCTGGTTAAGGACTTTAAGACGTGTAAAAGATGGGTATATATATATATATATCTCTATTATATATATATATATACCCACCTTTTATGTGTGTTCGGTATCTATATATATAAATTATATTTATTATATATATATATATATTTTCCAAATATTATTATTATTCATCATTGCCAAAAGAATTTTCATCAATAAAACACTTCTGTAACAGGAAATATTGACTGCGATTACGAAAATGATTAAGAAGCTTAAGGCTTAAGACGTAAAAGGAGTGGGTATATATAATATATATTATATCCTCTATTTATAATATATACCCACTCCTTTTATGTGGTGTCGGTATATATATATATTTAATATATTATTATATATATATATATTGTCCAAATTATTATTATTTATTCATCATTGCCAAAAGATGAGTATTTTCATCAATTCAAACACTCTGTAACAGGAATATATACTGCGATTACGAAAAATGATTAAGCCTGGTTAAGGACTTAAGACGTGTAAAAGGAGTGGGTATATATTATATATATATATATATATATATATATATATATATATAATATATATATATATAGATATATATATATATATATATATATTATTATATATATAAATATATATTGTCCAAATTATTATATTATTCTCATGCCAAAAGAGAGTATTTTATCAATAAAACACTTCTGTAACAGGAAATATATGACTGCGATTACGAAAATGATTAAGCCTGGTTAAGGACTTTAAAGACGTGTAAAAGAGTGGGTATAATATATATATATATATATCCTCTATTATATATATATATATACCCACTCCTTTTATGTGTGTTCGGTATATATATATATTTATTATATATATATAAATATTTAATTATATATATATATATTTGTCCAATTATTATTATTTATTCATCATTGCCAAAGATGAGTATTTTTCATCAATTAAAACACTTCTGTACAGGAATATATGACTGCGATTACGAAAATGATTAAGCCTGTTAAGGACTTTAAAGAGTGTAAAAGGCGTGGTATATATATATATATATATCCTCTATTATATATATATATATACCACTCCTTTTATGTGTTTCGGTATATATATATTATATAATAAATAATATTATATATATATATAATTTGTCCAAATTATTATTATTTATTCATCATTGCCAAAAGATGAGTATTTTCATCATTTTCATCATTAAAACACTTCTGTAACAGGAAATATATGACTGCGATTACGAAAATGATTAAGCCTGGTTAAGGACTTTAAAGACGTGTAAAAGGAGTGGGTATAATATATATATATATATCCTCTATATATATATCTATAGATATATATATTATTTATTATATATATATAATAATATTTATTCTATATATTATTCCAATTATTATCATCATTGCCAAAAAGGAGTATTTTCATAAAACTTCTGTAACAGGAAATATATACTGCGATTACGAAAATGATTTCCTGGTTAAGGACTTTAAAGACGTGTAAAAGGAGTGGGTAATATATATCAATTATAATCCTCTATTATATATATATATATACCCACTCCTTTTTGTGTGTTCGGTATATATATATATTTATTATATATCATATATTATATATATTTTGTCCAAATTATTATTATTTATTCATCATTGCCAAAAGATGAGTATTTTCATCAATTAAACACTTCTGTAACAGGAAATATGACTGCGATTACGAAAAATGAATTAGCCTGGTTAAGGACTTTAAAGACGTGTAAAAGGAGTGGGTAATATATATATATATATATTACTCTATTATATATATATTCCCACTCCTTTTTGTGTGTTCGGTAATATATATATATTTATTATATATATAATAATATTTATTATATATATATTGTCCAAATTATTATTATTTATTCATCATTGCCAAAGATGAGTATTTTCATCAATTAAAACACTTCTGTAACAGGAAATATATGACTGCGATTCGAAAAAAATGATAAGCTGGTTAAGGACTTTAAAGAGTGTAAAAGGAGTGGTATATATATATATATATATATATCCTCTATATATATATATATATACCCACTCTTTTATGTGTGTTCGGTATATATATATATTATATATAAATAATATATTATATATATTTGTCCAATTATATTATTTATTCATCATTGCCAAAAGATGAGTATTTCATCAATTAAAACCACTTCTGTAACAGGAATATATGACTGCGATACGAAAATGATTAAGCCTGGTTAAGGACTTTAAAGACGTGTAAAGGAGTGGGTATATATATATATATATATATCCTCTATTATATATATATATACCCCCTCCTTTTATGTGTGTTCGATATATATATATATAATATATAAATATTTATTATATATATATATATTTGTCCAAATTATTATTATTTATTCATCATTGCCAAAAGATGAGTATTTTCATCAATTAAAACACTTCTGTAACAGGAAATATATGACTGCGATTACGAAAAATGATTAAGCCTGGTTAAGGACTTTAAAGACGTGTAAAAGGAGTGGGTATATATATATATATATATATCCTCTATTATATATATATATATACCCACTCCTTTTATGTGTGTTCGGTATATATATATATTTATTATATATATAATAAATATTTATTATATATATATATATTTGTCCAAATTATTATTATTTATTCATCATTGCCAAAAGATGAGTATTTTCATCAATTAAAACACTTCTGTAACAGGAAATATATGACTGCGATTACGAAAAATGATTAAGCCTGGTTAAGGACTTTAAAGACGTGGACTTTAAAGTCAGAGTAATTCGAGGAAATAGGTTTAAATGAAGCAAAAAATGTATACGATTTGATATAATAGAGGATATATATATCTATATATATAATAGAGGATATATATATATATATACCCACCCTTTTACACGTCTTTAAAGTCCTTAACGAGGCTTAATCATTTTTCGTAATCGCAGTCATATATTTCCTATTACAGAATTGTTTTAATTGATGAAAATACTCATCTTTTGGCAATGATGAATAAATAATAATAATTTGGACAAATAGCAATGTCTAATTTTAATGCGGTCCTATACATTTGTTTGGGAAAGCTTTATACTCATTGTGAAACTATATAATTATAAGACGTTTGATTTCCGTTCAACAAAAATTCACCATAATATTATTTAATTTGAAAATTTGCAACTTTTGGTGTCATTCTCAACTTCCTTTGAAGAATCTGTTAGTTAAGTCAGAGTAATTCGAGGAAATAAGTTTAAATGAGGCAAAAAATGTATACGATTTGATTGGCCGTATAAGAAGTCATATGATCTCTGAATCGGATTTCTTATAATGAGTACGAATGCTCCTCCTATATATAACGACAGGAGGAACATGTATTATATTTTAAGTTACTTCTTTCAATTCAAAATGCCAAAACGTATCTCTTTGTGTCATTCAAATATTTTTGTAAGTGAGAGAATACTTCTACAATCAACAGTTGGAAAAAGACTGTTAAGTACTTTTGTAGATAAGGTGTATATTTTAGATGAATTTTGCGTTAGTAAACCCAAAGTGTGGGGAAAATATATTCAGTTTTATCATTTTAAACCATATTTTTTCTACATTATATTTTACATGCACATATTTTCTATTTTAAATAATACCGTTTAGAAAATAAGGACTAATTAGGAATTAATATTCTTTGCTGGAATTGTCTTACAATGAAGACATGATGTTGATTGGCTGTTTGGTTTTTACGTTAGACATTTTTCCGCAGAATACAGTAGCACGTGTTCGCTCGGTGCAGTACTCCCCACTGGCGTGGTCGGTTAAGTCGAAACTGGTCCCATTAATAGAGGAGGTCTGTGGCATGATGACACCACTACAGTTGGTGCCAACTCCGCTATTTTAAAGCTACACACTTGATCTCGTTCTTTTATAACACACCTCGTATATCATTATTTATCGTTATTTGAGTTTTAAGTAACTTTTCATCTCAAAATTCATTTTTTCTCACGTCCTTTGATTTTGTGCTGCCGTTTTAAACGTATGATCATCCTGATTGCTTGTACCTGATATGTTCCTCATCCTCCTGCTGCTGCTCCTTCTCCTCCTGTTGCTCCTCCTTCCTCCTGCAACTCCTACTCTTCTTGCGGCTCCTCCTCTTCTTGCTGCTGCTCCTCCTCCTGTCCCCTCCTCCTACTGCTACTACTCCTCCTGCGGCTCCTCCTTCTCTTCCTCCTGCGGTTCCTTCTTCTCTTCCTGCTGCTGCTCCTTCTCCTCTTGCTGGAGGAGCAGCAAGGGAAGGAGTTTCGACTTTACTGACCACGCCAATGGGGAGTAATATAGTGAAACATTTATGAGTTTCACACAACTAACCCAGACACCAAGTTTCCTTTTAAACTCTTTCTCATGGGCACTGAGAAGAGTATAAGAATTGCCTTGCAGATCGGTGGCCGCTTATTAGATACCTCCACAATAAAATGGTCATCTGTCATTTTAGCCTCTTTCCCTAAGTACACATCTCTTGCCGGTTTTGCTCCATTCAGCTAAACCCAAATCATGGCAAAGAAGAGGAGCCTGAAAGGCAACTCCCTGTGCACACACGTTTTGGTCATTTCCATGAGTGTAACATGAATATCAGTTATTTGCTCTTACAAAGCCAACCACGATAGACACAGACACACCAGACCAAGGACCTCCGACCCACGGCCATATTCTAGAGGACCCATACGGATTTTTGAATATCCGTCGCCCGTGGGACCTCGTCCCCGCAGTCGCCGCCCGTCTTTTACAAAGCATTGGGCAGAACTTAATCGTTGGAAATTGAAAGCTCTGTCGCCTTGCCTCCGGCCACCACTCCATCGGCAAAACCACTTTATTAAAAGGTGATCTGTCCACTCTGCCAGTCCCAACGAGGGGTCGGTCCCCGCCACGAGAACTGAATGCGATCAAACGCCTGGGGGCTTGGTCGACGATCACCAATCTAGCTCAACCACTGCCGGAGAAACAGACAGGACAATACCAGTACGGTCCTTGCCAAGCTTGAACCAACCTGAGTACAATAATCGGGGTATAGTCCTGTGAAGTCCAATTATATACCCCGGGGTTGAGAATGCCTAGGTAGAGATCCTAACCAGTACTTCCCAGGCGTTCGCCTGAGTCAATCCCAGGGAGAAACCAGCCACGATAGCAGTCCCTTACCCCTAAATAAAGAACTGTTTTCTGTTTTGCTCTGTTCAACTATAACCAAATAATGGCTAAGAATAGAATACGGGTTTGAAAAGCAACTGACTATCATCGCACTTCTTCGGAAATTTCCGTATATGCAACATAAATACGAGCTATTTTCTTTCTGAAAACCATTCGCGATGACAATCCCTTCTTTTCCTAAGTAGATAACCCTTGCCTATTTTGTTCTATTCAACTAAAATCAAATCATGGCAAAGAATACGAGTTAGAAAGGTTGTAAGGATCTTAAGTTTTACTAGCGTTTATTTTATTTTAAATCTTTACTGTCACTTCTTATTTTCTACTTCCGGCCAGAATTATAAGCGTTAATGTTTTTATGCAAAGTTTGTCTGGCGAACGCCAAGTATTTAAGTTGTGGCTTTTTGCCAAGCGAGAGAGAGGAAGCAGTTAGTCGAAGCAGGCCGCTTACCTTAGAAGTTTTACTCAGTTGCTGTTGCCTTCCAGGCCAGAGGTTTTAATCCTCTTGATAATTTTTAAACGTATTGTAGTGTTCACAGTTCTCTGTACTACATACGGCTTCCTGTTAATATAAGGCCATCTTCCACGTTATTATTTTAAAAGTTAAATTAGAGTTTAGTTTTATTATTATACTTTTACGTTTTGACCCCAAGTAGCGGGTCTGTGTATTTCCGAAGTACAGAAGTTATTGTAAATAGAGAAAAATAAAGGGTTTTGTATACCCTTCTTGTATATCCTGTCTACTTCCCACAGTTTTGAACATAGCTTTAGTAAGCTCTCTGTTCCGAGTCAGGTCCTTGCATGTTCCCGAAGATGGTTAGACGGAACATTGAACCTGATAAGGTAATCTATTTGGTTATTTTACCTTTGTTTAACATGAACACGAGCTATTTTCTCTTGGAAAGCCATTTGCGATGTCGATGGCTTCCTCTTCCCCCAAGTAAATGGCCCTTGCCTGTTTTGCTCTATTCAACTAAAACCAAATCCTGGCAAGGAGTACGAGTTAAAAAGGCAAGTCATTATCATCTTATTTTTTGGAAATTCCCCCATGTGTAACCTGAATATGAGTTATTTTCTCTTGGAAAACCATCCGCGATGGCAACCCTTCCCCCCTAAGTAGGTAGCCCTTGCCTATTTTGCTCTATCCAACTAAAACCAAATATTGGGAATAAATTAGGAGCTAAAACGTAAACTATCTACCATGAAATTTTTGTTTGCTTAACATGAATATGAGCTAGTTCCTCTCGAAAAGCCATCCACGAAGGCAATTCTTTTCTCCTTAAGTACATAGTTCTTGCCTGTTTTGCTTTACACTAGAAACCAAATAGTAATGAAAAACAAGAGAGTTAGAAAAATAACGGACGACTGTAACACCATTGGGAGATTTCTCTATGTGGAACGTAAATATGGCCTATTTCATCTTGGAAAGCTTCTCATGAAGACAATCCCCCCTCAATTGCTTTGTTCATCTAAACCGAAATCATGACAAATAATACGAGCTAGAAAAGCAATTGGAAGCCCTAATTTTCTGATGAAATTATTGCAAATAAAAGCGAACATTCCAAAATAATAATAATAACTGGTCTTTGATGATATTAAAAGCTGTTGCGCATTTGGAAGAGAATAATAGTTTTCTATATCTGTTGGACCAATAATAATAATACATTAAACTCTGTATAAATATTTTTATTTCATAATTTGCGATTTATAAATGTTAAAATGAAATTCATTGCAAATTGTATGGTCAAACAGTCCCCTTCGCACCTGTGCATATTGCTGAGTTTTAAAAACACAGTGTATCATTTATATAAAACTCTTATATGTCAGTTGAAAAATAATTAAATTACTTACATTCAATAAATTCCTGCTTACTTAATCACTAACCGTTGAGTTAAAAATCATTCAAAATTTATTCCTGTATTTGATATTTTTAAGATAATTAATTCTTGAACTATGATATCTTTAATTACTATGTAAACATCAGCAGCATTTAAGCACCAATTGCTGTTTATTTAGCGTTATATAGAATTCAAAACTTACAGTGTGTAAATTATTTGATTTTTATCTAGAAATAGTGTCAAGTAGTATAAAAGAAACAAGTAAGTTATTCTGCTTACAAAGAAATATTTACCTTTTGTGATATTTATTATTAGTACAGTTTCTGTATCGAAAGGAAGTGCAGACGGAAATAACATTGCCGCCGTTATGTTTGAAATAATGATATTTTAGAACCAGGATGAAGATATTTAATGTAATACGAATATCAAAATGAAAGTCGTAACATAGAATGAAATACTTCGATTTCTCGATTGATGATTTTCGTGCATTTTCCCTCAGCTCCACGGTCAGCGAGTTTTATATTTATCTAATCCATTTCATCCTCCTCGCCTCTTTTCATCATTTCGTTTTGGCAACGGCAGCAAAATTGAAAGCACCAACAGCTGAGGGAAACCTTTATCTGGTTTACGGATTTCGAAGCAAATGTAAGCTGTATTTTCAGAAATATTTTTGCAAGAAAAAAAAAAGAACCTTGGAAAACTATTTCAAGAATATTTTTTGCGAAAGCGGAGAGGTTTATTTTCAACTGAAAAAGTTTTTATTTATATTTCCTGTCCAGGCCGATTCATATAAAAGTATAGGTCGCCTAGGGTATAAAGAAGTAGTTCACTTGGGACTGTTATCTTCTGCATCATCGGATGAAGCATTCGTCCCCGTTGTATTTCCTATGGCGTCGATATGTAGGATATTCCACATGCAGCAGCATCTTTGTTCCGCATTTCGAGAGTTTGATTTGCAGAAAACTAAGTAAACCGATTCGCATAGTAATATAAAAGATTAGAAGAACTGTAAACAGCACCGAGTTCACATTCTGAAAGCATTTACACTTTTTGTGGGTGTGTATGCTTTTCATCCTTCAGACCTTTCGGCATGTCTTCGTGGCGTAATGGTTAGCATACTCGGCGCGTATTCGACTTGTCCAGGTTCGAATTTCGTCGAGGGCAGTGCATATTTCTTATGTAATTCCGCTTAAAAAATATAATAAATCTACAGTGGCGCCCGAATTGAACGTTGGTGGAGGATGATTAGTCACTTTTGGGATTTGGCGAGTGGGTTCCCTAATCCCCAGTCGCCCTTTAAAATAGGGAGTATCTAAGGTATTTTCTCCCTCCTTTCTGCATGCCTACGTGGTGTAACGGTTGGCACACTCGACGAGGACTCGAGAGGTTCAGGGTGCGAATCCCGGCGAGACCATAACTGCCTGCTGTCGAAACTTTATGGTAACTGTAATATTAGTTATAATATTTCGAGCATTAATGTCAGCATTTTATCATTTAGATCAGTGGTCCTCAAACTTTGTTGAGTCTCGGAGCCCTTAGGTATTCTCGGGCAACCCCACCCTACCCTTAGAAAAATTTATAACTTAAAATAATTTTTGAAGCATATCAATATGTTATAGGTACTTTATGTAAAGACAAAATAAAGTATTGCATTTATTAAAAAATTTTAACATAAAATTTGTAGAGACATTCAGATATTTTATTAGCAGGAGACACGAAAAATGTGCAATGGCTTCGCCGGGACACGAACCTGGACCTCTCGAATACGCGCCGTGTGTGCTAGCAGTGAACCAAGAAAAATATCTTATACCCTTAGAATAATATATCTTTAGTAATCTTTAAAATATATCAATATATTATAGGTACTTTGTAGAGAGACAAAGAAAAATATTGTATTTCTCTCTAAATATTGTAATTTTGTGTAGAGACAAAGAAAATATTGTATTTTTTATTAAAACTTTTAACATAAAATTAATATCATTTAGTAACTTTTAGCATTGATAGCGGAGTGCAGGTGTCGCATACCTTTGTATTATATTCAGTGACTGGGATTGCTTGCATTTCTTTACACGTCGAAACTCTCGAGGGTTGGCTGGATTGATGTTATTTGCAGTCGCGTTTTTCACTGCCCTCCAAAAGTTAAGGAATAGGATACTTTTGTGTCTAATTTGAGATTGAAGGAACAAGAAATTTACAGGATATGTTCACTAAACAATTCTTTAATGCGGCAATGAGTAATGCGGAATAGAATATTTCTAAAGTTTAACATGAAC